ACTTAACAACAGCAGCAAAATGGAGAAAAGATTGAAGTTGTCAAAGATGTTAATTTTGCTTGGGTCTATCAACATTCATGGAAGCAGCAGTCAAATCAAACGATGCATTGCATTAGGTAAATCTGCTGCACAACACCTCTTTAAAGTGTTCAAGAGCAAAGATAGCACTTTGAGGACTAAGGTGCACCTGACCCAAGCCATGGTATTTTCAGTTGCCTTATACAATTGTGAATAAGGAAGATCGTAGAAGAATTAATGCATTTGAGTTATGGTGTTGGAGAAGAATATTAAAAGTACGCTGCACATCTCTGCTCTGCCAGCAGCGCACACATTGACCACTCACCTGCCAGCACCCAGGACCATGGCCAACACAGAGCACACCTTCAGTGTCATCAAGCTGGATGGCATGCAGCACAGCCTGGTGGGGTGATCATCAAGCACTTTGAGCAGAAAGGATTCCGCCTTGTGGCCATGAGTTCATGAAGTCCTCCCAAGAGCACCTGAAGTAGTATTACATTGACCTGAAGGACCACCCATTCTTCCCTGGGCTGGTGAAGTACGTGAACTCAGGATCGGTTGTGGCCATGGGATGGGAGGGGCTGAATGTGTTAAAGACAAGTCAAGTGATGCTTGGGGAGACTAATCCAAGTGGATTCCAAGCCAGGCACTATTGGTGAAGATTTCTGTATTCAAGTTGGCAGAAACATCATTCACGGCAGTGATTCAGTAAAAGGTGCTGCAAAAGAAATTAGTCTCTGGTTTAAGCCAGAGGAATTGGTTGACTACGAGTCTTGTGGCCATGACTGGGTGTATGAACAAGTGTGGACAAAACAACAATTCCCGCCTCTTTGACACAGCTCTTCATTCCAGAGATTTAAAAGCAGTGGGATACTGAGAATCCTTTCCTAAACCACATTAACCAATAAAACCTTTGGAAACTAGAAAATAAAAAGTACCATGAACTGCCAGAAGAATAAATCTGTGTTGAAAGAAGTATAGCCAGAATGCCCCTCAGAAGCCAGGATGGCAAGACTTCGTCTCGCATACTTTGGATATATCAGGAGGGACCAATCCCTGGAGGACATCATGTTTGATAAAATGGAAGGTCAGTGAAAAAGAGGAAGACTCCCAGTGTGATGGATTTAAACAGTGGCAGCAGCCATGGGCTCCAGTGTAACAACAATTGTGAGGAGGTGCCGGACCAGGCAGTATTTCATTCTGTTGTTCATAGGGTTGCTGTGAGTCAGAACTGATTCGACAACACCTAACAGCAACAACAATCTTTAAAAAATCTTTTTAAAAAAATAACAATTGCATGGTTAAATTCCCAGAGCACTCAGTTCTTTAGGGATGGACTGAATAGTTGGTATCATTGCCTGCAAAAGTGTCTTGACCTTGATGAAGCATATGTTGAGAATTAATGTTTATGTTTTTTATTTTTATCTTTCCATGAACTTTTTAAAGAGGACTTCAAAGAGTTTGTATGAAAATGGAATTTATCAATTTATCAAGTATTTTTCCATGAACGTTTTGATATCCCTCAGATACTCCCTTTTTGATGAGAATTCTACAGAATCTTTGGGGTGTTCTTTAGTGGTGGCCTGGCAGCACTTGGTTCTTGAAGTCTCCTTGAACCAAACAACAGTTTATCTTAACTAGTAAAGAATGTCTGCCTTTGAACATTGTTCTCCTTTAAGATCTATCAATATGGGATCAAATTGGAAACAAAATTCAAAAGATTAGATAGAAAATTAGAGGGCACCGAGTTTATGTTAATAGAGGAGGAACAGTTTGGAAAAGGAAGGTGACAGTGGTTATACAACTTGAATACAGTCAGTGTCACTGGATTGAACATGAAGGAATTATTGAATTGGTGTATGCTCTGCTGAGCATGTTCTCAATAACATCAAAATGATGTTCTTTTTTCAATTGGACACAGACTGTTTCCTCTACCTGAGACCAGAAGTGGATGGTGTCTCGTTATCACTATTGAGTATTTTGGTCATTGGTGGTTCCCAAGGGTGGGGTGTGGTGAGTATTCTAGGTAGTAGTCACTTGTTGCCTATGGTGATAGGAAAGGGGCCTCTGAATGTAGGTGATGATTGTGAAGCTTAATATAATTGATGTCAATAAGTGGTACATAAGAAAAATAATCAATTGGCAAATGCCAGGGTATATATCCACCACTAGTCTGTCAGCTCGTTGTATAATGGTGGCTTTATGTGTTGCAGTGATGCTAGAAGCTCTGCTACTAGTATTTTAAATAACAGCTGTGTACTAATGGTGGAAAGGTTTCAGTGGAGCTTCCAGACCAAGATAGACTAGACAGAAGGAGAGGCAGACCATTTCTGAAAGGTTAGAGCCACCAAACTTTATAAATAGCAGTGGAACATTGCCTGATATGGTACCAGAAGCTGCACCCCCTCAGGTTGGAAAGCACTGAAAATACAACTGGGGAAGATCTGCCTCCTCAAAGTAGAGTTGACCTTAATGATGTGGATGAAGCACAGCTTTCAGCACTTTCATTTGCTGATGGGGCACAACTCGAAATAAGAAGAAACAGCTGCAAACATCCATTAATAATTGGAGCATGGAATGTAGGAAGTATGAATCTAGGAAAATTGGAAGTCGTCAAAAATGAAATGGAAAGTATAGATACCCTAGGTATTAGTGAACTAAAATGAACTGGTATTGACCATTTAGATTTGGACAGTCCTGTGGTTTATTTTGCCAGGAATGACAAACTGAAGAGGAATGGCATCACACTCATCCTCAAAAAGAGCAGCCCAAGATTTACCTTGTAGTACATTGCTGTCTGTGATAGAATAATATCGATATGTTTACAAGGAAGACTAGTTAATACTACTGTTATTCAAATTTACGTACTAATCACTAAAACCAATGATGATGAAATTTTTATATTCTACCAGCTTGTATGGTGCTGTGGGTTAAAGCACTGGATTGCAAAGTCGGTTTGAACCGTAAGGTCAGCGGTTCGAGCTCACAAGTCACTCCTCAGAAAATCTTATGCAGGGTCGCTATGGGTTGGAACGGACTCGACAGCATTTAACGACAACCACCAACAGCTTCTTCAGATGAAATTGATCAAACATGCAATCAAGATGAGTTGATAATTACTGATGATTGGAATGGGAAGGTTGGAAATGAAGTTTGGCAGTTAGAAAATAATGGCCTTGATGACAGAAATGCTGGAGATTGCATGGTAGAACTTCCTGATGCTTTGTTTTTTACTAAATAAGACCAATGACTTATTCATTGCAAATACATTTGTTTCAGCAACATAAATTATGACTACCCACATGGAATCGAATTAACTAGTAGAAGTATATTATGCTTGGTAAAGTAGAGGGTCAGTGAAAAAGAGGAGGACACAGTGACAGCAACAATAGGCTCAAATGTAACACCAGTTGTTAGGATGGAACAGGATCCAGCAGTGTTTCCTTTTGTTGTGCATAGGGTCTCTAGGATTCAGGATCAATTTGATAGCACCTAACAACAACAGATTATATATAATTTTGCAACAATAACAAGAACCAAAAAAGGCAAGGAGGTGGGTACTACAGAAGCTGATAATAACTAGACATAGCCAGTCATCTCAAGGCTTTAGTCCTCTTGTTTTGAAGGCTTAGGGTCATGGTCACATGGACCTGTCCAGTCAATTGACATAATATAGTTCTTTTTTTCTTTTTAATGTTTTATTGTGAATTATGTGATACTTTACATGGGAGAGCATTAGCTTTACATTCATCCTATCGTATATTGTTACATTGCCATGGTCACAATCCCCTCCATGCATCATCAACCAACCAAATGGTACACCCAGCAAGCCTGCCCCTTGGTCGTCAGTACATAGCCCCTCTCCCTCTCTGGCATAATATAGTTCTTAAAGCTTATATTTTATCTCCCGGTATAGTGAGTAGCATCTGGTATCTACAAAGTTATGAGTGGCTATCTGAGATGCAAACATTGGTTTCTGTTTTTCTGGAACAAGAGAGAAAGAAGGAAATCCAAGAATCAGAGAAGAAATCAGACTGCAGGTCCAAATGTCTCCATGAACCTACACAATGCCTTCTTTACCTTGAGACCAGAAGAACTGGATGGTGCCTGGTTACTACTATTGAACATTGTAATCAGGCGTACCCTAGATAGATTCTGATAGAAAAGGACCAGAATGAGCAACAGTTCTTCACATTCTTAAAGAATACCGATTTACTGGATCTATTGAGACTGGAGGAATCCCAGACTATTGCCTGGAGTTACTCTTCAAACCTTGAAACAAAAGTAACTCCTGAAGTCACCTTTAAACAAGGTAAAGTTTAGCTCAAAAAGTAAATATTGTCACTTTTGAGTATTGCGTTTTTTAAAAAATAAAATGTAGAAGACAAAATAGACAACTGCTTTTCTAAAGTGTAAGCAAGGTTGTGGACAGGGAATGTAAGTCAGTGGGAGTGAAACAACTAGAACAGGAATAATGTGTAGGCACAATGTGAAGAATGTAATCAATGTCACTGGTCCGTATGTTAGAAATTTGAATGGGTGGCTGCTTTGTTCTGTGTATTTTTACTAAAAGTAAAATAAAATCTCAGCTTAAAAAATTGGAGGACCTATCTTGTGTAATGTTTGTAGTTCTTGGCAGTGTTACAGACTAGTTGATAGAAATGTGTATGAAGAATTCTTTCATCTCATGAGTAGCTGAAGCAGAACATTCAGATGACCTGTAAAGGTTCTACCAACCCTGAGATTCCCTAGTTGACGCCTTTCAGCATTCTCTCCTTGTCACAACTTTTTGCAAATTCCCATTTTATAAAAGTTTTGCAATCATACCTCCATGGCAGCTGAAGGAAGAGACGACAGATGAATTGTTTGAGTTCTTGAAGAGTCTGGTTTCATAAGTGCACCATTCGCTGGTCAGATTGTAAGGACCTCCCTTTTTAGTGTAAGTAGGTTAATGTGCCTCTTACATTGTTGTTTTCTCGTAGGTGACTATTGGGCGAGGATTTGGTGTCACATATCAACTGGTATCAAAAAGCTGCCCATTGATGATTTCCCGAAACCACTGTGTTTTGAAACAGAATGCTGAAGGCCATTGGACAATTATGGACAACAAGGTACAGGAATCTACAGAAATCTGATGACTTTCATTGAATTTTTACTTATTTTTAAATAATTTTTGTCATTGATAATACATAGTACAAAATCCCAGTCATCCATTTCTTCCTCGGTGGCAGTTTTGTTTGTAAATTGGGAGTGGTGGTTATGTGTTTGTATAATACTAGAGCTTAAATTATGCCAAAATAATTTCCAATGACTTTTAAGTTGGACGCTTATTTTTAAGCAAGCACCTAAATTGGGGCAGTAGGTCCTGTTCCAGAAATCAGTCTAGTTACTGACCCTGGGAATCTGACGTTTCTGGAGTACACCTATGGCCCAGGGGAATGCCAGGGAGTGCAAGAAGCTGAATTTAACTACATTTAGCTCTTTGCCCTTCCTACTTCTTTCAGTTCCCCAACGTTTTTAAAAATCTGTTTTAATATTTGTGTTCTGAGGAAAATTTTCTTTGAATAAGGGGTAACTTTCTTTAAACAAATTTGAAAATTACAAATATACTAAGGGAAGTGAAGTAGTGTATAAAATCCAGCAATTAGGAAGTACCTAAAGTGCAGGTATGTAAGCACTGGGAAATATAATGAAAATGTAGACTGTGTGGTGAGAGAAATTCTAATGTAAACAATTAGGGATTGGGAAGCATGAAATGTCTTCAGACACTGTTTTATACAGCTTCACTGCTTTGACTGGGAAGATTTTTAAAGTACCTGTTAGAGTTCAGACTTGCCTCAAAGCCTCATTTGTATGCATAAAACTGCTGGATTTAAGCTGTTGGAGAAAGTACCTTTCGCGCTAGGATTAAGTTGAATTGGCACTGTGTTGAATGAGAAAGTAGAAATGCTAAGTAAATTGGTGTAATACTTTTAGTGTAAGACTTATGAGCAGAATGGAAATTGCACTGAAAAGGGAACCTTAGAGATTCGTTTTACCCCTTCTGTGGACAAATGAATCAGAGGCCCTGAGATATAAGTTAACTTGTCTAAGTCTATTTATATAACTAGTGAGTGAGTGAGTGAATGAGCAGGACTCAAACTTAGGTCTCTCTACTATGCCCTGTTGTCAAATACTAGTAAAGAACATGAGCATTTTCTATCCTGGATGCATAATTTAAAAACAAAACAGTATTACTCTTAAGAGGGTAAGTCAAAATGTATTGCTAAATCATAGAAACTTTTATTTAACAAAAATATCAAAATACAAAGCTTTTTTTTCTCAACATAGCCTCCATTTGGGTGTCTATACTTCTGAAGGTGGTGTTTTTGTCAGCTTGAGGGCTAAGGTGCGCCTGACCCAAGCCATGGTATTTTCAGTTATCTCATATGCAAACAAAAGCTGGACAGTGAATAAGGAAGGCCATAAAAGAATTGATGCTTTTGAGTTATGTTGTTGGAAGATAATATTGAAAGTGCCATGGGCTGCCAAAAGAACCAACAGATCCGTTTTGGAAGAAGTGCAGCCAGAGTGCTCCTTGGAGGCCACGATGGCCAAACTTCGTCTCTCATACTTCAGACATAGTGTCAGGAGGGACCCGTCATTGGAGAAGGTTTTCATGTTTGGTAAAGTGGAAGGTCATAGAAAAAGAGGAAGACCCCCAACGAGATGGATTGGCCAAGTGGCAGCATCGATGGACTCAAGTGTGGCAACAGTAGTGAGGTTGGCCCAGGACTGAGCAGTGTTTCGTTCTGCTGTGCATAGGGTCACTATGAACCAGTACTGGATCAATGGCACCTAACAACAACAACAGCAATCTTTCCCTGAAGTAAGAATTCTGCACTCTTTGATTTACATCACATCAAAACAGCAGTTTTGGCACTCTCAGAGGACTCAAATTGTGTTTTTTCAGTGTTCTTTGAGTTTGGGGAACAAAAAGACACCTGAAAGGACCGTAAGGTAGATATGGTAAGCTTTGTCAACAAAATTCTTATAGGGCAGCCCTTGTTACCCTTAAAGAATGAGCAGGTACATTGTTGTGGTAGAAAAAACTTTCTCAGCATAACTTTCCTGGCCTTTTTCTCACTAAGCCAGATTTCAGTTTTCTTAAAACTTCTTTATAATAAAGCACCTGTGATTGGCCCGTGTCTTCTGAGAAAACTCTATCAAGACTACCCTTTGATTGTTGTTTTTTTTAAGTACCATAAACATCTGAGCTGACCTCTCGGCCTTGAATTTAGCTGACCCAGTAGATCTCCTAGGAAGCCACTGATTTTTTATTTTTTTAAAGGTATCCTAATGAGTCTAAACCAAGTGTATACTGGGAGAACTTGTCTGCAGCCATCCATTGATCTCAGAGTTGTTTTTAAATACATTCTGGGGTGGGGGTTTGGGTTTAATAAATCCAGGCATGTGTGAACTGGAATTGTGGTGGCAATAATTTTTGGCTTGTCTTTGTATTTAAGATAAATTGTTACAAGTAGATATGTAACACATTTCAGTAGCCATAAGATTGTATTGAAACACCATAGGAAAAAATGTTTTCTCATGAGAAAACATCTGGCAGTCTGAGAAATAGGGTTTTACAGCCTTATAGAGGTGAGTTCTCTGCTGTTCTTCTCTTGATTATGTGTGGTATAGCTGAGCTCTGTTTATATGGGATTAGCAGATTTTGAGAGTTTGGGAAGCCACCAGCTGACAGATTTCTTTGTTCTTTGAATGTCACCCACAGGGGCACAGAAGCAACCTGTCCAAACCAAGATCCTGACTGTACCCTGAGTTTGCTTTGTACTCTTTTTCTTTTTTTTTTTCAAAGGAAGACAGGGACTTTTCCTGTCTTATCCAAAATCTTGATTCATCATATTGGCCTGGTGCCAGTAGTTGCTGTTGAGTGCCATCAAGTTGGTTCTGACTCACAGCAACCCTGTAAAGGGTCTCTGAGGAGCAGGGGGTAGATTTGAACCACTGACTTTCCAGTTAGCAGTCCAGCGCTTATCCTACAGCACCAGAGCCAGTACTAACCAAAAATTGTTGAATAAACAATGAGTGAACCTACTGCATAAAACATATCCAAAATGATAAAATAGATAAACATGCTCTTTCTAGGAATTTAAGAGCTAACGAGTAGTGACATGAAGGGAAGCTTAGATCAGAAAATGAACTATTAGTATGCAAGAAGGTACAATGAAGACTTCAGGTGATATTTTTTGGTTAAAGTGTAAATACTATTTCAGAGCAATAATTTCATCCAGACTCCCTGATGCCATATCTGGATTCCAGGAAAATATGAAACTCAGTTCTGTATTTCCCCCTTTTGATTAGGGTGCTTCTTTAGAGTCTTTGATCAAAATGTTCAGTTGTATCCTCCAGTTCTTCTAGTCCTATGGAAAAGAAGGCAGTTGCTTATGGAGACAATTACTTTAGTTTAAGGAGTAAGAATGCTTTGAGCATTGTGCTCTTTTAAGGACATCACTATATGGGATCAGCCTGACAACAGCAACTCAAAGGTTACAGAGGAAATTCAGGTGCAGTAAGTTTATGTTTAAAGAGCTCTGATAGCGTAGTGGTTACAAATCAGGCTGCTAACCTCAGAATCAGCAGTTCGATACTGCCAGCTGTTCTGCGGGAGAAAGATGAGGCTTTCTGCTCCGGTAAAGATTTACAGCTTCGGAAACCCTGTACAGGGTCGCTATGAGTCAGAACCGACTCCATGGCACATAACAAAAACAACAAGGTTATATTAATGATAGAGGAATGGTTTAGAAAAGGAGGATGAGAATAGTTACACAAGTCAATGCCACCAATGTCACTGAATTGAACATGTACAGATTGTTGAATTGGTGAGTATTCTGCTGTATTTATCTGCAACATCAACCAAAATAAATAAATCACTTTCCTAAACAATATGCAAGAAATCTAAAAGAGCTGCAGAAACAAATAGATATCTAGGGAACTGCAAAGGCTCAAATCATGGACCGGCTTTTATGAAAGTATACACAAGATAGAACTGCTCAATCTAAGCTGAGCATCTTGGAGAGAATAGCAGTGACTGCCAGGCAGAAACATCTGCTCCCAGGCTTTCCCCTTATAACCTGCAGAGCCATGTGGCTTCTCACAGAGTGGACACCCACCAGTGGCCTAAGTACCACACTACATGCATGCATTCTGCGGCATCTAGTAATCAGAAGGCTCTGTAATATCATCCAAGACATACAACTATCCCAGGAAATAATGTGAATATCAAGTTTACTAGAAAAAGAAGAGAAAGGGCACACAATGACTGGAAATGTCCCCAAAATGTTTGCATGAGGTGGAGCATGCCAAGACAAATGAAGAGGGATGCCATCTTTGTCCCCCCAAAATAATAAAAAAAAAATTAAGACTGACTGACTTTGGGCTGTTTCTACTGGATACACAATGACCAACAGAGGGGTCAGTGGTTCAAACCCACCATGGGAGGCACATGTGCCAGACCTTCCTTCCTTATTATTTTTTTAAATGTTTTATTGTGAGTTATGTGATAGTTTACATGGGAGAACGTTAGTTTTACATTCATCCTATCGTATATCGCTTCATTGCCATGGTTACATTCCCCTCCATGCATCATCAACCAACCAAAGTGTATACCCTACAAGTCTGCCATCGGTCATCAGCACATAGCCCCTTCTCCCTCTCTGGGTCTAAAGTTCCCAGTTGCTCCGTCTGTCTCTGCCTCCATCTCAGGCATCACTGCTTCTCTGGGTAGGGTCAGGCTCTCCGCTCTTCTTCCTTGATGGACCCAGGGACCTCTGCTCGTAGACTGCAGAGTTAATCAACTTCCCTCCTTACTACAAAATGTCTACCTTTACATTTCCAAGCCTCACAATCAGTCCTGATAACAATTATTCACTATTGTATCACAAGAGACCTAACCAAATTTCCTTTCATCTGCCCTGCCTAAACAGATTGGATACTACTCAGTGGAGATTCTACCTTCCTCCACGCCCTCTGGATCTAAGCTCCCTCTTGAAAGCTTATAAGCCAGTCACTTCTTGCCTTTGTAGCGGCCCCACTTTGCATAGTCAATGTCCAA